TGTTAAGATGGCAGTTGATAAACAAAAAGTTATTAGAACTAGAAAATACTTAACAAAAATTGGGTTTGGAGATGAGTTCTAGCTGGTCTAGGAAAAACAGTGAGAATGTAGGTTATTCTATTCCTTGCAACTTTAGGGCATCTGTAATAGAGAAGATGTCTTGGCTACAAGAACCAGACTTAAGAACTTTCCAGTCATGTGCACAGTCTCCAGGATCTCCATGGTCCTCTGTGATACACACATCTTCAATAATCTGTTGTCCTTCTTTTTCATTATTTAAAATGTTTGCAATAGTTTTCCTGATGGGGTTTTGTTGTGTTGTTGTTATAGAAGTATTCAAGGAAAAAAAATCTGTATTTGAAATCCTAGAAGTTTTCTAACTAGATAATATTGTCAAATGAGAGTCATAGCAACATTTAAAATTTGGGGCAAATTAATTTTCTCAAATTTCACACAACATAGGACTTGTATGACACTTCCTGATCTCCCGTATTGCTAAATTAATCCCTAAACACACTCTCAGTATATTGCTATTCCACAACCTGAAGATCTCAAGAAAAACTGCTACCATCTAATACAAAATAATTTATATTTAAGCAACAACATAAGTAAATTGTGTCAAAATTATAGCTATCATGTTCTAAGATGTTTAGGCTATCGATATACTCACCAAAATGAGCAACTCCTGGTGATTCAATCTTTTGCAGAATCATTTCTGTGACCAGTTCCTCAGAAATACTTTGACCTTTAAGAAGTAATTCTTGACACTAAGGTAAAATGGAAAACATGGTCTATATAATGTGCATTTGTCAAGATTGTGACAAAACTTAATGGAAGATCAGACCTCTACCTTAAGTCCATATTCTGTTTCTTCATGAATATTTGTTTGAATGACTTCTGAAGCTGAGGAAGAACAACAGACAGAAAAGAATGAAAATGATTAATTAAAAATGTTTTCTCTACAGACATGTACATGCAGATACACACATATGTATACACACACACAGAGGAGCATGTGAGCTCCAAGCAGCAAAGCATTTTTGAATGAACTTCCATTATATTTAGGGCCATTATTATATTTTGCCCATCCAGAAGTTGGTGCCCTCTGGCAATATCTGGGTAGATGTTT